TGACCAGTGAGTTCTATTTAAATAAACTATAATTATTTTGGGTGTAAGCTCAACGAACATGGAAGTGAGCTGTTATATTGTTGACTTTTGACAGTTTCACGATGTGGATCACGTCCCCACAGACTTACGTCCTTGCTCGTAGCTCACATCGTGACAAAAATATAACATAACTCAAGGAAGCAGGGTTTGTTTTAAAAAAGCCAAAACAACTTTAACATTCTCTGTTCACGGTAGCCGACTGGAAAGTTTGCAGACGATCGTTTGCGCAGACATCAATCCAAAATGGCGCCTCTAAAAACGTTTGGTTTGTAGCCGGCCCGTGTCACCATACCTTCCCTTCTAGGCAAGGATCAAATCTTTTGGCCGCGACTTAACGTCGACTTGCAGAGGCGAAACAACTACACTTATCTAAACCTCCCAATCTCTGGGGGTTCATTTTCGGGAATAGCGTTACGCGAACGGATCACGTGTTGGACTGCCATTTACCCCTATTGCCATGACAACCGCGCGTGTTTTAATATTGACAGGAATTGTTCGAGACCAACCCGCACGTTCACGGGACTGGTTTATCGACAGGGGGAGAGCGGGAGGGGGGTCTATCAAGTCTTGTAGGCGAGCTTGACGGCGCCGAACATGTTCGCGTGATGCCCGTGTCCAACCCATGCATGCTGAGTTGGCTCGGCGCCAGATCTCGTGCACTCATCTGGTCTCATGGCTCTCCGTGATCGAAGGCAGCCGTGTATATAATGTCTACAGACCGGCTGGTCTTCGATAACTCGCTTGCGACAAACCTTAAATTGTTATCGATCCCACTGAGACAATCATGTGACCAAGACCCAATCACTTGCCTTCTACATTCCAAACTATCGATTCTCTTTTGTATCGGAGAGTGTTCCGTTTCTCAGCGACTCCTATATTCGATAAAGTTTTCGAGACCATTCCGTCCCCAGTTGCACGGGAGTGTGAACTGCTGTAGACGCCATCGGCAAAAAATCTGACGCAAATATTAGCAATTTTCTCCATGGTTAGTACTGGTTCTATAGTCTTGCCGCGCGTCGAACAGTAATTAACGGTCTTATAAAACCGTATATGTTCTGAAGCGAAAAGAGAGATTAAATGCGACACCATCCTTTTTCTCCAGTTCCGTTCTTTAGACGCGAGTTCATCTACCGAACCAGTGAAGTACAAAAATGCCATGTCGTTAACTGGTGTTATAGTTAAGAATCTTATTTTCGATTACATAGCTTATGAGTATCTAAGTAGCGAGGACATTCTGGGCTCTTTCAGACCTCGCCGCCACATTACGTATTCAGTACACGGCGCATTGCAAGTAATCACGTGAGCGAGATGTGGTTTGAATTTAGCGAAAGATATCACTTGTTTTTTTTATGTCCTGAAATGCTATTATTTCTTAGTTTATTGAAGTTTGTTGACTCACGGGTATTAATTGTTTCGTGTAATCATTTCCCCCTATTACTGTAGTGATATTTTTCCTGTTGGTTATCAAGTCATGGTTTCGGAACAGGCAATAGCGTTTTTATTAATGACACTTAAGGAGGGGTGTATACTGAACAAAAGAAGTTAGGGATCATGAATATTTCAGGGGATCCTTTTCTGAAATTGTGTGATGTCTTCACTACAAAAGCTTATCCCCCAAAATATTCATGCCAAAAGATAATTATTTGTTAAGAATATGTGATGGTACAACAACGAATGGTAATCGTTTTTCAGTTAACAGTCTGAAAATTTGTCATTGTATTTCGCAACATAGCATTTCTTCTCTTATCTATAAAATTGCAATATATGTTGTAATGTATCTTGCTATCCATCACAATGTTATTTTAATATAGATGGGCAATATCACCCAATACCCCTTGGCAAGGACAGATAGTGAAGTCCAATATTATACACTCGGTATAATTTGAATATTTAATGAATAATTCATAATGTCATGCATATGGATAATAATGGGCAATTTATTTATTTGTCGAGATCAACTTCCCAGAAACACTTATTTTGTTCCTCTGACACTGTACAACAGAACCGTCATCTGCAATGCGAAGCCCTTAATCATGAAGCTGATTGCATAAGAGACGCATATGTTAATACCATTGTGGTACGCAATAATGATATAAACAACTGTTTAGTCACGAGACTGGCGAACTTTGAGTCCGTGTCAAATCGGTTTGTGCGCATTAACCAGCATGTCTCGAGCGCCGCGTTAATCTGAACGTTAGATCGGAAGTTGCCGGTTTCATTTAACGAAATCGGGGCGTTATCATTTGGTTTTTCCGCATTAATAATCCTATCAAAAATATTGGTCGTACTGATGATTCTGTTACCCCTCCCACAGGTCATTACATCCACTGACCGGTCCCCTTGAGGGCATTTTGGACTCTCGTCACGTGTTGGCTGAATATTTATGATGACCACCGGTCTTAGTTCTCCGACTGGACGCTTGACCTTTGTGTCTGGTTTGTGAAAGAACGCTTGACCGTAACGGTTATCTGAGATGGCGGTTGTGTTTGCAACGAGGGCAATAGCTGATAATGATCGCTCCCCGACCTCGGAAGCCTGATAAAGAGGGGCATTATCTAGTTTACCGAAGGACGCCCAAGATGCGGCGATTCAACCCACGTCATATATGCATGGCGGAATCATAAATCATTATACGTGGGAATTGTCACGTGCTTGACAGTTTAAGTTATCAGGCAACATTTATGCTTCCAAGCCGAACAATTAATGTGAATTTAAGATGACGATATTTCGACAGACCTATTCTACTTGTCAGAGGTTAAACTTAAATATATATCTTTTAAGTTTAATAGAGCAATGTATCGCCGTTTCGGCGTATATGGTACTCTCTTTCCAGTTTGTTGCACTGTACCGAGAGTAATCACGTGTTGACATTTTAGGAAATGAGATAAGTGTGACTTCAAGCATGTATATTGTCATGGTAATACTATCAAAGCTCGACTGAAACAGTATTTGTGTGAATAATTTATAATGTCGAAGTTAAAGTAGGCAATAGCGTGTGATGCCTCGGTTGTAAGATAGCGCATTAATGTCGCCTCTCGCCTTCCTGTCACGTGACGCTGGTATAAGTCCGCGATCTACATTTACCTCAGTCGTTGATGAACCTGTACCCCAGTCAATGTACATTTACCCCGGGATCCGTGAAGATCCGGCTTATAATACCTGTCTTTATCAACCCATGCTTGTCGTAAAAGGCGACTATGCTTGTAAGAGGGATCGGGTGATCAGAATCGCTGACTTGGTTGATGTATGTCATCGTATCCCAATTGCGTGGATCGATGCTCATGATATCAGTCACTGGATTGTCTGTTCCGGACTCGATTATTTACAGACCGCCGCCAAATAGCTTGTCTATTGCCAGGTGTGGCGTCAAACAACAAACAAACAAAACAAAACAGTGAGTGACGTACTTTTACCTCAGTCATGGGATTATGCATTTATGGAAATACTGATGTTCACATGTAGCCATTTCTTTCAGGTTGCCAACTACACTAATGTGGTACAAAAACACTTATATAATTATTCTTATCAATTTCTACATTTTCACCAATTCATTTATTTTATCAATGTACATTATTTTGTCATTATAACTATATATACTTACAAATATGTTTTGTTTCGTATAACAGTTAGTCTAAGACGACTAATATAAACGTACATGTAAAACATATGTAAATGATTGTCAATCATTTCGTTTGAAATGTACAACCCGATGTTTACACAAGCGCGGTCATAGCGCTCAGTACTGTAAAGATACACCCTCTCTGGCAGATACACCCTCTCTGACAGATACATTGTCTCTGACAGAAACACCTATGACAGATACACCCTCTCTGACAGAAACAACCGCTCTGACAGATACACCCTCTCTGACAGAAACACCCACTCTGACGGATACACCCCTGAAAGTATTCAGATTTCTCGAGTACCCGTAGATCATCAATTAGATCACACAGACTTGACAAAGCCCATAAACTTAATACGAGATCAACATTATCTGTAATAATTCGAAAAACCCACATTATCCACAAACAAACATGACCAGAATTATTCATGAAGTACTAAAATGCGCAATCGTGGCCCGAACGTCCACATGACTCCATGCATTCCTCCTCACATGCACTTGCTTCACGCAATGTCCATTCGTGACAGAGACCTCCCTTTCCCGACTTCCCCGACTTCTCCACCTGATTCAGGGGGACTATGAATTATTCACGGATCATCAAATTGTAATTAGTCAAGAGACGTTTCGTAATTACAGTCTTGCGGCAGTAATTGTCTTGTAGTCGAGGCCGAAAACGTCCATTTGAAATTAATGTCCACTTTCTGAGTTGAAAGCAAAATCCGGAATATTGTCAAATGAAGTTAGCGTAACTTTGCTGGGAGGAAAGACTCTACGGGGGACGGGGATGGGGTTGGTGACACAGGGGGAGGGGTGGGACACAGAAAATGCCATTCTATTGTTGTCAGTTGACATGCGTCCAATCATTCGTGTATTTCTCGCAATACACTGCGCAGTTTAGTAAATGTGACTAACCCGTTTGGCATTCGTCGTAGCACGAATGTATACGTTTTGAAACCCGTACGTCCTTTATTTGTATAATTAGGAGCAGGTTACACAAGTAAATGTAGACGATGTCGGGCAATACGACACGCCTTTGTTGATAATGAACACTGCCAGTGTGGGGCCCTAGGACGGGAGTTGTCGTCACATGGATGCGCGTACCCTATCGGCTGAGGTGAACTTTATGAGACTCACAAATTCATATAATCCCCCCTAAATAAACATGCGTGCACACGAATTAACGCCGACTTTAGTAAAAACCGATCTGATGTGTTCGGCTTGACTGGGCAGCCGAAGCGTCGGTGTCAGATTTTATTTCGTCGATTTTAATGGGCTGATTGTGAATGCTCAATAAAGTTGCTTCGTGGCTGTAGATTTATTGAGCTGGTTTCTGTTTCAGACAAACGAGCCCAAACTGGTGAAAGACAAACGTGAACGGGACTTGAGAGAAAGGGCAAGCAAAGGTTGTTCCGGGTCAGCCTCGGGGTCGGACAAGGATGAGGGCGGAAGTCGAGGGAGCGAAGATGATGGGAGCGAGGAAGCTGACGAGGAGAGTCAGGAATCCGGCGAGAACGGAGACGAAGATAGTGGGTCTGAGGAAGAGGAGGAAGAAGGAAAGGTAGAGGAGAATAACAACGAGGCTGGTGAGAAGGAGTCGAGTAGTAGTGATACCTCATCTTCATCGTCTGGCTCCTCTTCCTCCGGTTCTGATTCTGACTCTGATGAAGACGAGAAAAAAGAGGAAGAAGAGGAAGAAGAAGAAGTGAAACAAGATGAAGCAGTGGCTGAAGAACCAACTGATAATGTGACCGAAAATATGACCGAAAATATCGAAACTCCCGTTGAAATTACTAAAACAGTTGATGAAGATGTGGACACACCTCAACAAATGGAGGTTGTTGAGGATGTCCAAGGGGAAGAGGGAGGCAATGAGTCTGTTGTAGAAGAGGAAGAGGAAATGCCAAATGATGAAGATAATGTTGTTGAATCTAAAGATGAGGATAGTATTCCTGCTTTGGAAAATGGCATCGAAGCTGAGGCAGAGAAGGCAATGGAGGAGGAGGAGGAGGGGGAGGGGGAGGAGGATGAAGAGGATGTCGAGCCCAAGGATGAAGAGATGGAGAAGTGTGAAACCAAAGTCATACCCATGGAGGAAGAGTGTTCCGTGAAAGAAGAAGAAATTGTCGAACCAGTTGAGTCATCTGAGCCAACAGAACTTGAGGCCGTCGATTCTTCTCCCGTCAGTGCCACCGAGATCGAAGACTCCAAAAACCTTGAAGAGCCAAGGGGGGTTTCTCCCGTAGAGGTCAAACCGGAAGATGAGCCTTCTGACAGTGTTCCTGTGGTAGATTCGGACAAGATGAAAGAACTAACTGAGGACGAAGCCAGTCGGGGTAGCGTCAGCAGTGCACCCAGCATTGACAGTAGCATTAAAAACTCCTCAGATAGGGAACAAACACCTGTCCCTCGCAAGCTTTCCACACCAACCCTGCCTGACGTCTCCGTCAAGAAGAATGCTGAAAGATCAAACAGGTATGTATCTTTCAGTACTGTTAATCCTAAGTATCCTTAAACTAATAATTTAGACAAAACTGAAAAATACACAATAATATATTACTCTTACGTACATCAACCATAACAAAACGTAATCTTTGATTGGACAAACAGGTGAGGAAACTTAGACGAGAAAAAAAAAACTCATAAAAAATTATCGCTAGGACTTATGCAAAAAGCGTCAACCTTCAAATTCCAAGATGGCGTTTCGGTTGTTTCAGTCTTCACGGGCGGTGGATGTAATTGTAGTCATGTCGACAGTTGATGAATCGTTGTTCGCCGATGCCGCGGGCTTTCGGGTCATTGAGCGTTAGGGGACAACGGGGAGGGGGCTTGGGGCAGGGAGGCTTTCTTGTCACTCTTTGCACTGTGTTCCTAATGTAATTTAACACATCGAAGGGACATTTCTCAGGATTAGCTTTGTGGCAGCGTGAAATAACTCCCGACTTGTTTTTGTTGTTTTTCGGGACATCTGGAATTTGTCGCAATTCTGTTGAAAAGAATTCGAATTAACTAAGGCAAATTCTAAACTTAAAATGTATAGTTCGTGTGAATGCGCATTTCCTCTTACGTCCGCATGTTTCGACTGACATTTTGATACGACATTAACATCAGGGCAATACCATGGTAAAAATACTATATCCACCTTGTCATTATGTGGATCGATGCTCATGATTTCAATCTCTGGATTGTCTGGTCCACTATCGATTATTTACAGACCGCCCTCATATAGCTGGAATATTGCTGAGTGCGGCGTTAAACAACGAACAAACCGAACAAATCATACGTTAGTTGAGTTTAACTCCACATTTAACATCGTATCCACTATATATCACGGCGAGTAGTAATTTAGGTTTGCATCTTTGGGGAGCACACCACGAATGGGAACCCGTGACCCCCCACCCCCTCCCAACACTCACACCACAATATATCCAAAGGTATAAACACGACACAATATCACAATATGCCAGCCCGGTCTTTCTGTATATTGAAACATATGGTGTAAGTCAAAATAGGAAATTGCTTCATAAGTAATCAAACGCAGGCTGTCTGCTTCGTCGCTCTTGTCACAAACTACTGGCGTGTTACACGTTAATTCTCAACTGTTCAAGGGAAGCCATTATTTAAACAGCATTCCAAATAGGTATTACCCAAGTCCATCAATCTTCCAACATCGTTGTCAACGTTCATCAAAGAACTTTTTCCCTCCTCGAATTGTCTTGGGAATATCTTTCAATTTCAGTCAATTTCTACTCAGCAACCGGTATGGTGTTTAAAACGGAACTGATTGATACATAATAACATCAAAGAAGGTTCCCGATCACTTGGAAATCGAACGTGATCGGCGTCGGAAGAAACAATGATAAATGGCTTGGGAAAACATGCTAGAGGAAGACTTTCAGACTAAATGCCTTTAGAGATTTATTACCAGTGTTGTAGATTTCCTAAACCGACTCGTTCTATATAAAGGCGCGTTGTGTTAGATGCCTGCATCTCTCGCGGGGTATACATTGTGTTTGGTTTTCGCACATTGCCATATAATTGAGTAAACGTATGTTTTACATTCATTGTATTGTAAAGAAATTTTCAGACCAAGATCCAGAAGGACGTGTTTTGAGAAAATACGATCAATTTCTATTAAATTCTTACGATCTTTGTCTCGCGATTGAAGAATCTTATGAAATGACGTAATTAGTTGCTGCCAGTATCGTGTATTTACATTGGTGGGGCAATCCACAAGTTATTGCAATGAATTAACCAGAGGTAATGTATTTCTGCAGTACATCACAATCTGCCATTGTTAATTTCAGCGGCGGAGGTAAATCTCGCCTGAGCAACATTATTGATCTTCTGAGGACATCGAAAGAGAAAGAGACCCAAAAGCAAACGACACCAGACCGACCTGAAGAAAAGCGCCAAGAAACGCGACAGCCTGAAGTGAAGGATGTTAAGACTCCTTTTCCCCTTCCACAAAGACGTGACGAGACCAAGCCAAGGAAGCCAGAGCGGGAAGAACCATCGGTTCAGAAACCGTCAAGAGGTAGCTGCCGCCAGCTCGTACTGGCTTCATCTCACACATATATGTTAGCGGCGATACAATTACAAAAATAACCTCGTCTGCTTCTATGCTCAACCGTTTTAGTGAGTGAGTGAGTATTGTTTACGCCGCCTTTAGCAATATTCCTGCAATATCACGGCGGGGGACACACATTGTACCCATGTGGGAAGTCGAACCCAGACCTTCGTCGTGACGAGCGGACGCTGGACCCTACCGCCCCCAATCGTTTAAAAATGGATCGTCGATAAATATTCTCAGACCTTTCAATATGGATCCTCGATAGTCAATGGCTTGTCACGAACGTCATCGCGATATGCGATATGAGTGTTTTCTATTGTGGTCGAATGTGGTCTTCGTATGTCTTTGATGGTGATTAGGTGGTCAAATCATGTGACGCGTCTGTCAAGCAACGTTGATGGTTTCTTGTTTTTTAACGCCGAACTCAGCATTATTCCAGCTATATGACGTCGGTCTGTAAATAATAGAGTCTGGGCCTGACAACGCAGTGATTGCCATCGATCTATCAATTAGGATACGATGACATGCATCAATCAAGTCAGCGAGCCTGACCACCCGATCCCGTTGGTCGGCTCTTACGACAAGCTTGGGATGCTGAAGACCATTCTAACCCGGATCTTTACGGGAAACTCTTCCTGACTCCATCAATTGTCCAGTGACCACACCTGGAATACTGCTGACATTCACTTACTCGCGTATTTTAGCGACATTGTGATTATTATAGTTATATTATAATAGACTGACTGGGTATGGAAATAGACCACATAAATATTGTTTAATTTTGGTTTTTATTTTTATCATTTTGGTTTTACAGAAGACGCGAGAATTAGCGAAAAAGCCCGTGAAGCGATGCGACTTCCCATGGGTCGACTTCCGTTTGGTTTCCCACCACCAGAGATCTTAGAACGTGCCAGCAGGGAGGCCCACGAACAGCTGTCCAAGAGCCACAGGCAGTTTGAAAAGAACCTCGAATCCCTCATCACCCAAAATATGAATCCATTTATCCCAGAACTAAGCATCTTCTCCTTACCGGAGCATCGGGCACAGCTCGAGTATAACTACATCAAGAACATGGAACGTCTGGATCAGATGGCGAAAGAACGGATGGCATCAATGGCGGAGATGCGGCACCAACAACTTCTCCGGGAACACAACAGCTTCGTGGCCAAGTTGGCGGAACAACAGAAGCCCAAGCCCGTTAGATCGGAGCCCAGTGAACACAGGAACAATAGGGAGAGTGTTAAGAAACCAGTGGCTCCGAATAAACGTACTGTAGCCGAAGGAAATTCGTCATCTTTACCAAAGGTTCCACATGCACATAGAGCGATGCCTGAAGTCAGGAAAGACAAACCAGATCATAGAACGTACGTTCAGTTATTTTCTCATTTTATATATTTTACAAAATATTTTTCTTTGTCCCTTCTCCTGGGACAAAAAATTATAATGCTAACATCACTTTCATATTCATCTGTTTTAGTTATTTTGTTAAAAAATGCTATATATATATATAATCGTTTTGTACGTTCTGTATTATTAATAATGTGTTTTAATTTACAGGCTCCAAACGCCCCCGGCAGCGCACCACCATCATCCTTCGAGTCGACCTCCAAGTACCGGAAATAAACCACCGTCCGCACTTCCGCTTCCTGCTTCAACCGGAAGAGCGGCTCACCCAACAGGTCCGAGTGCGACACAGTCCCGGAGTTCCCCAATGGTGGCACCAATCGCCCCGCCGCTCCAGATGTGGTCGTCCTGCTTTCCATATGTGATTCCACCACCAACAATAGAAATGCAAAGACTTACTCAGTTTTTTCCTAACCTAAACGGAGGGATGTTCTCGGCGGAAACGGGCGAGAAACGTCAAACGGAGTCCCCTATACTTGACCTTTCCACGAAAAAGAGAAAAATGGACGATAATGGCAATGAACATCGTAGCAAACAAGCAAAACTGTCTTCCAACTCGCGATCAGTTCATCATCCTCATGCTAACGGATTACCAAGAGATCGTCACTCTCATAAAGACTTCAGTGCTAAAGACAGACCCATGTGGGCTAACTTTGAAAGGAGTGGCGCTATGGCTTGTACATGCGCATTGCAGCATTTAAACGACATCCGGCACTGGTCCGTGGAGGATGTATGTTGTTTCATGAAGGGACTGGAAGGATGCTCTTTATACGTTGATGTAAGGAGAATATAATGTTCTAGTAATCATTATTTATTTGTAATACTCCAAACATGGCTTCAATCGCCTGACAGGGCGAGGGCGTCCATTGGGTTTTACCTGGCGCTTGAATTACGCCTTGTGGTCGCCCGGAGCCAAAATATACTATTGAGTTGAATTTTCAATGATTATAGACGCAACTACGCAAACAACTCCAAATAACAAGAATACTTTCCATAGTACACGAGGGCTGATAATCAGAGTTGGGGGAAAAAGCGAAAATCTACGTAGACATACTTAAATACCTCATCTTACGATTAAGCATCATTTAACATCTTCTGAAGCTTGTAAGTTTTCTCAAAAGAAGCCAACAATGTTCGAAACAGATTGCGAATAATTCATTTACCCAGCTTTGAATGGCGGTCGCTAGGTGTCCCACTCCCATCGCTTCGATACAACTAGGGCGACGGTAATACATGGAAATATTTGAACGGATCACTAACCAGACGGACGGTCTCCAGGCACGGCAAACATACACTATTGAAGAGAATACACCATCACTCCTCGGTTGGCTAATCATTCATTTTTAGCATTTTATCCATAAGCTGATATTGTGCGAACGTTATGAACCGTTTAGCGATAGCATTGCGAGGTTTGCGGTATTTGCGGTTTTTTTCTATTGTGAAGGAGTCCCTGGGAATATATTGCCTTTCGTAGGAACAAGAATATTTCTAACTGCGGTTGGTTTCATTTTCGACTTTGATGGTAACGCCAGCTCCTAATGCAAATAGAAGTGAGAGAATGGTGCAGTCGTATACAGGGCATGGCGGTAAAGGGCGCACAATGGACATAATCATATTGCATTGTATGAAAATGGGTGATGTAATGGAGGCAGTCACTGGATATAATAGTAGCCTGTGCATGAAAGGAACTTCATCTATGGTATTATTTGTACCACAGTTGGTGTTATTGTGTACGGATGTATGTACGTATGTCGAACGTGAATCACAATGGGTGGTAGTGCACGCAGAGGAATCTCTTCATGTTATGCTTACAAATATACTTCTAAAAAGAAGTTAAGGATCCTAGATTATTTCATATTACTATTGTTTGGTTTGTTTGTTGTATAACGCCGCACTCAGCAATATTCCAGCTATATGACGTCGGTCTGTAAATAATCGAGTCTGGACCTGACAATCCAGTGATTAACATCATGAGCATCGATCCACGCAAACGGGGTTAGGATGACATGCATCAACCAAGTCAGCGAGCCTGACCACACGAACCCGTTTGTTGCCTCTTACGACCAGCATAGTCGCCTTTAACGGCAAGTCTATTACTATGGCACGACAGATTAACTATAGTATTATAAAATAATCGCGTGTTCCTTAACTTCTCTTGAGTAGTGTAATTGATATCCAACGATAAGCGACATGACGTTAGTTGATAAATAATCAGAGTGGTATTTTGAATACCAGGACTGGTATATGTGACAATATGGTATTGCATATAGCAGACACGATAGTTATCTGAAATATCGGATACGAAGAGCGTGTACGGTATACACAATATGTTATTATTAATATATATGCTAATGGTAGGTTTATGAAATGAGTCGATATCGACATGTACGAAAGGTCGTGTTGGTACGCAATAATTTAAATTCGGAAATTGACCAGTGAAATATTAATCTCGTTTTAACCCAGACATGCCGTAAGCACTTGTTCTATCTATGCACATTACATTAGACTCTTGCTCCCATTGTTCCCACGTGTTATGTAATACTCCACGTTGAAGAACAACGGACAGTGCTTAGATAGACAAGCGTTATCGACGCGTCGACTCATTCACGGGGTCGTAGGTATTACGCCAAGGTTTTGTTTGTATAGGTCTTGACAACCCGGGGTTTTAGGAAATGCCCATTAACGACGTAATGACAAATGTGACGCAACATGCTCCAACGACAGTTAAGGCTGTGATTACAGCAACGCAGAATTCAACTGATATCAATGGCTCCGCTATCCCGACGCGACCACCCGTGAATAACTACAACTGGTTTTGTTTACACGATACGTTCGGGCTAAAGAAGATTGCAGGCCAATAACTAGTGCTATTATCTCGTAACCAGGAACGTACTATCACGGGAAAAATAAGTTGTTTTCATCACCAGCGTGACGGAAACGGCGTAACAACGTAGTTTGTTCTTATGTAATGATTGATTTATTAAGACTTGTTTTAGCATCTGTGGTAAACGGTTGACAAGGGGATATTATTTCGCGGAGAAACAAGCGGGTCGGGTTAATAGGTGCTGATGTCTATAAGTCGGTAGTAGTTGTGTCGGTGGATCAACGTTACCTTCCGTTAATATATTATACACACTCATTCATTTCAACACAAGCATAATCAATATTCAAACTAACGTTTGAACGAACCCCCCCTCCCCCCCCCCCACGAATACTGTTCTTACAAATGACCAGGTTACTAAATGTATGACCCGTGAAGATCCGGGGTAGAAAAGGTCTTCAGCAACCCATGCTTGCCGTAAAAGGCGACTAACAGGATCGGGTGGTCAGGCTTCTGACTTGGTTGATGCATGTAATCGTATCCCAACTGCTTGGATCGATGCTCATGATGTCAATCAATGGTTTGTCTGGTACATACTCGATTATTTACAGGCCGCCGTCATATAGCTGGAATATTGCGTAATGCGGCGTTAAACAACAAACAAACTAAATGTATAATTATTGATGGGAACAATCAAGATTAAACTATGGAATGTATTTATAAACCGTATTATTTTGTTTTCAGACATTCCGTCGGCATGGGATTGATGGTAACACATTGCTCCTACTGACGTCAGACACGCTGGTGAAATCCCTCGGCATGAAAATCGGCGCCGCAACGTTCCTCACAGATGCCGTAGCAAGGCGGTCAAGAGAGCTTCAGAAACTAGTGCCATGTGAATACTGTCGGTTTAAGAACCAAAAGGGCTAGACTCGTCATTGTGGTGAATCGGTGGTGCTTATGGACGCCATGGAACTGGAACGCGAGGATTTGTACATAAGGATTGGTCGGAATATTCTGCAATAAACCGACCGAGACGATTCGGTGAACGGATGTCAACACACGCTAAAGTGACGTGAACGGGATGTATATTTTGGTTAAATTGCTTTTGAAGGGATGGCTAAGCTGGACTCATTTATCATTCTCTCGTTTTGGAGAAATACGGGACCATGAGATAAATCCTCGTTGGGTGTTGAGTTTGTGTTCAAAGACGGAGTGTGTGTTGCTCCACTGAGGGTACCAGGCAGGTTTTGGATACGTCGACTTGAAAAATTCCAAAATTGTTCCTTCAAAAATGAACACGAACGTCCGTCATATTCTGCACGGATCTAGTGGTCGTGTGTGTATATAATCACTGACAGGTTAACTATCCATGTAGCTCATTCCAGTTAGCAGTGGACCAGCCTCTTTTATGTCACGTGACTGAAATAGACATAATCACCAAGCCATTTATCACCCATCATGATGTATTGATACAACCATTTCTCAGTCATTCGTGGACATCGTGTACAGAATGTTAAACATGCTGTGTGACCTTATTTATTGCTTTGTCGGTTTCATACATACATGATATCTACATGTGTACATTTCACAAATGAATGACAATCGCATATGTCAAAGTCTCGCCATTACTGTCATCTATGCGTGTTCATTAAGTTATTTGCGTCCGGTGGTGTTTTGTCCGGACGCCAACCCATATCACAACTATGCACTCTCATCTATTCCACGCACTATGCAGTCAGTGGTGTCAATTTCAGTGTTGAAATCGATTACCTTTGAAAGACATCTTCCAATTGAGACCAGAGATGTGTCCGTAAAGAAGAATAAGAGTTAGACACGGAAACTAGGACGGATTTATATATTTTTTTTCTAAAATAAAGAAATATGTTTCACGAACCATTTTAATAATAAACAAAATGACTGAATAAGCTGTGGACTGCTTGGCTACAAATCGCGGTGTCGACCCGTGATAATATTATTAAAATCATGTCCGATCATCGGGCCAGTTTTAAGAATACTTTATGAATTTTACGTGTTATTTTAAACGTTTTCGTTAAATATATCATTTTAAGTTTGTATTTTTAATCTATTCACGGACACATTTCTGATGGTTTGAACAAAATATATGAAGGAATATGTTGTTTTTTGTTAATGCGATGACGTATAGTATTACGCTTTTGTTATGCAATCAATATACATTGATGTGTTTTACATCCGATCGTTTCCATGTTGATTTCGTGCCATAGACTCAGCACATGGAACCAAAGTTCTTCAGAAATAAACAGTTGTTACTCGCAACGACCCCATAGCTAGCCCGCTTTTGAACTGACAATTAGCTTTCATCGGCATTTTTGCGACCGAAATTCATGCAAGATTATTCACAAACGTTTCCATTATGGTTGTGAATCCCTTCCGGATATGACGTCATTTCTAGCGGAAGTCAAATGGCGTTCACTTAGCAAATGTCAGTTTTGGGGTGAATGAAACGACGACGGCAATGATAACAACCCGCCGTGTTGTAGCGGCGCTGTTATAACAGTCCCGCAGAAATCGTCGGCTGTGGTATAACACAATTTATATCTTCGTATTTTTGCAGCGGCTTAAATGGGATCGGTTGCGTTTGACATGCTCATATTTCTAACCAAATGAATTATGCTTTGAAGTCTTGGGTTTAACAAATCGATTGAGATCGTTAGTGGCAACATTTATCAGACTTTTGACAGTTTTTTTAGATAACGACAAGGTAAGGCTTTTTGGCAGAAATTCATGCTCTGTAAGGTCGTGACTTTGCTCACGATTTTAATGGATTAGAGTTTTAAAGTTTTAAACCTGAACCAAGGGGTGGCTGATTTTACTTTGGATTGAAATATGAGTCTGTCTCGCTGTGTGACAAACCTGCTACAATGAACGGTCCCCATAAGGGATCTGTTGAATCGCGTAAAACCAATATGGCGGATGTGCCTCTGTGCTCGAAAAAAGTGCGCAACATAACTGGTTGTACATATGTCTGAAAGCTTATGTTGAGATGAAATTGTTTGTAATAAACAGCCTGGTAGATATAACGTCTGTGTGTGTTGTTTATCTTCACTGATCGCTGTCATGTGAATAAAACCAGAACGAGGCAGTGAAACATGACCTACAGGAAAGGACAACCCAAGACAGAACAGTGTGAGTGAGTAGGGTGTAAAGCCGCTTTGAACAATGATATCACGGCGTGTCGGCTTAAGTAGGGAGGAAAGCTTGATGTAATGCCGGTCTCAGACGTTTACAACTTTGGTGAAACCCACGAGCAGGGGTATTGTACTGACATACCTAGAAACATTATCAGTACGAACCGGGATTTGAACCCACTGTCCTAGGTTCCTGTCGTGCCCAACGGACGCACCAGGACAGAAGAAGCGAGTGTTTTAATGTTGTAACGACATTGTCGACGATGGTCGCACTATTGACACATTTAAGCATTAACGCCATCGACGCTATCATTCTCGTATATATCCCCCAAAAGGCGACTATGATTGTCGTTGAGGCGACTAACGGGATCGGGTGGTCAGGCTATCTTGGTTGATACATGTCATCGTATCCCAATTGCCTGTATCGATGCTCATGATATCAATCACTGGATTGTGTGGTCAAGACTCGATTATTTTCCAGACCGCCGTCATATAGCTGGAATATTGCTGGGTGCGGCGTTAAACAACAAACAAACAAACAAACACATCTTCGTCATGCGAAGCCTCTGCCATTTCGAGCTCTGGCCTTTAGCCAACTGACCAGGGTCGGTGGCGTCTAGGTCAGACAACTGGAGATAGCTAATGGGTTATACCTACGCAAGACCTCGTCAACATTCTCCAACACAACAGACAACTTTTCACGTATCAATAGACAAGGACGATAACTTGGTAAAAACCTTTCTGATAATAACCTTTGGCTGAAGCAAGCGAGCTGGCGGCATGATACATGTGCACATCTTCCCTGATCCCCAAACAGGAATAGGGAGGAGGAAGTCATACAAAAAACTTGATGATGTGGATTATGCTTTACGACAGAACTGAAACTTATCAACACGTTAAACAAATGACACCATGTCGCATACAGTCGAACATCAATACGGTTTCTACCACGAAGACAAGCATATAAACTTAACTCGTTTCAACTCGTTAAACCCTCACATATAGCTTAAAATACATTGTTAATGCTGGATCATAGAGGACGCTCTGATTGGCACCGAACACCATTGTGGGGAGTTTATATTACACCGTAATCTGCCAAAAAAATCCAGAAACTATACTCTGCTTAAAAAGAAGAGCAAAGGTGTTTCCGATGCATATTTTATATACCATGTAAATAATCAACAAATGGTAATCGATTGTTCAAAATTAGCACATATCATTGTCATTGACCCAGGTCTGTATGGCACACATGGAACAGTAGATTTTCAAGGTCGGGGTCATCTGTTCTCAATATCTTGTATGGCCACAATTAGAGCACAGAACTTATTGGCATCGCCGTCCAATGGACGAAATTAGATCCCGGATTGGGTTTAAATCTGGAGAAGGACCATGGCAGGACCTGCATTTTGTGATTCCTGAAAAAGCCTGTTGTCAGTCTTGCCGTGTGAGGTCGCGCGTTGTCTTGTTGGAAAATGACGTTTCCCTGTTGCATAATGGGAAGGACATGTGACCGCAAAATCTCACCCATGTAACGTTGTGCTGTTAAATTCCCGAGAACTTGCACCAGGTCTGTTCTACTAGTGTAGTACCACATTACCACCACCAAATGTGCCCACTTCCTGAATGCAGTTTCGTGTATAATGTTCCCCGCGACGCCTCTTAACACGACCCTCTACCATCCACATGGCGAAGCAAAAAAAAGCGACTCATCACAAAGCCAAACTTGTCTCGTTCGCAGTTTTGGCCATACAAAGCCGTGGCCTTGACACCATTGACGTCGCAGGTCCGTCAAAATGACACCTCGAACTGGTTGTCCAGCGCGAATACCTTCAGCGCGTAAATGGCTCCTCGCTGTCTGAGCTGATATCCTACGCCATCCTGGTATTGCCGTAGTTGTAGAGGTGGCCGTGGTGGTTCTTTCGCGACAGTGACGAAGCCGTATGTATCTATCCTGTGCTCTAGTCGTGATACGTGGTCGACCGGATCTGAGAAGGTCACGCGTTGTCCCGTGTGTCTGATAACGCTCCACAGACTTGTAATGTTGCTTGGTGCGACGTGGAAAAAACCTGGCTGCGGCTAAATATGATTCTCCTGTTTTCAGTCTGCCGATGGCATTGTTGCGTTTGGCTTCCGTTATTCGTGGCATGTTTTCGCTCTTCACTTGTTGTCAGATTGTGATGGCATGCAAATGAAAACCAAACGTTTTCACAGCCCAACAAGTAATGTTGCACGTGCATGTCATGTTGGTGTGTTTCGGCGCCAGATTTTTCCATATTTTCACCTAATTTCTACTGCACTTCATTCTTTCCACACAAGTCAATCACGCTCCATGCATAAATAACAAATTCATTTTTGGTATGAATTTTGTATGTTTGTCGGCAGCACTTTCCTATTTTACTATTTTTGCGTTTCTTTTTTTGCAGAGTATATATCTGGATAAGAAAACAACCGACAAGCGCCTTCACCATTGTCTATACATGTGCGTCATTGTGTCAATCAATATTTCTTTTATTCAGTTATTTCCCATTGTGATTTAAAGATGAGAAATGTTCGTTTATGCTCACAAAGAAACGAAATACTTTGTCAACATATGCAAACGCATTACACAAGCTTAACATAGAAACAACCTTCATTCGCCATCTCCATTACTTTAATATGGAGGACATATACCATCTAAAGCGTACACAGGTCTGGGAGGTCATATGAAAAGAAAGTACACACTTGAAAATTGGATTTGGTAAAAAAATTATAAACCTTATCTAAACGCTACAAGCCTGAAGACAGTCACCGGAAAACTGCAAAACACAACAAGATCAAATATACAACTCAAGGTTTGCTAAGGATCATAGGTGGATCAAAAGGTAATAGTGAATGAGTATGGTATTACGCCGCTTTTAGCAATATTTCAGCAATATCACGGGCGACACTAGAAATGGGCTAACCCGTGTGGGGAATCAAACCCTGGTCTGCGGCGTGACGAGCGAACGCGTCACCACTAGGCTACCCCACCGCCCCTTAATTCGTCAAATTGTGTGCATCTGTTGAAATAGCCAAAGGCAATATTGCATGAAGACATATTTAATGAACAAAAGCCTGTTGTCGTGTGCCACACAATGCCAACAAGCAACATGTGACCAATAATCAGTCAGATCAGCCGTCAAAATGAGAATATCTTACCAAATCTAAAACGTAATTCATTGTCCCAAAAAACATCAATGTGATCCAAGTGATGCGATGACATCGCCTGTTCCCAATAAGAGTCAGGATGGTTGCAAATGGAAGATTGTTAAACTCTTCAGTAAGAGCATCGCGAGGTCCTGCAGAGTTGCCGGAAGGACAGGGTGTCATGAGAGGGCGATCTGCAGCTCGTTTGAAATGTGTTCGTCAGGGTTGAGGATATTTCATGTGGACAATGGTCAATAGTCTCCTACTCGAAATGGGCATCAACTATCCTGACACGGTGAGATCGTGCGTTGTCGTACATGAGGATGAAGTCATGTCCGATTGCACAAGCATGCGGTCTCGCGTACACATCGAATGTCACCCCTGTAGCGCACACCTGTCGCCATGCGCCGATGTAGGACATGGGGATCGGTTCTCCCAGCTCAGCTGATCCCACCCCAAATCATGATTAAGCCCCATCCACAGCGGCCATGTTCGGCTACTATGGAATCCTGAAATATTTCCCCTTGTCTTCTCGACACTTGGGCACCAGGATCTGTGAAGTCAAGACAGTATCTCAATTCATCAGTGAAAAGTACTGGAGCCCAGTCCTTTGTCTGTCCAATTGACGTGATCTTCAGCCCAATCCAAACTTGCTATCCTGTGGTGTCGGTTCAGTGGGATGCGCATGCATGCCATCATGTGTCTGGAGACCAGTCGCACGGAGACGATTACGCGCTGTCTGAGTAGAAACGTTACCGCCACTGGCAGGTCATTTCTGAGTGTGGTGACAGTCACGATATGAAGACATCTTGCTGAACTCAGGGAAACTTGTCTTCCCGCTGTGTGAAGGACGCTGTCAACAACCTGCATGTCTTTGAGTAGCTGATCCAAACGTCTGCTGATCACACCAAAGACGTTTGCAGCGTGATGTTGTGTTGACCCAGTGTCATCTGTCTAATTCTTCGGTCGTCAAACGACGTCTTTGACGCTGAAGGGGCATAAGTACTTTAAGTTGTTGCAATCCCCACTAGCAAATGTTGTTGTGCTCCTTGAAAATGATGTGCAACGATTCTGTCGCGATACATCCAAACACAGGTTTTCAAGCACCTCGTGCCCATGCCTCTGTCCGTTCATCGTGAAATTGAAGGTCCGGTGTTTGATCCCCGGCAGCGTCATTACAAAAGGCGTTACAAGATGGTACTTGTTGTTACCCTGACTGGCACTCGGCATTAAGGGGCTAAAACAAGGACTGATCGGCTCGCAGTAAGTATACTGTGCCTTAGAGGAGCTTACACACACACACACACACACACACACACACACACACACACACACACACACACACACACACACACACACACACACACACCATATATAAGTGCAATAATCTTGGACGCGACGTTAAACCCCATTTCACCTCACCTATTTACTTTATATAGTGGTTGTATCTATAAACAATAGAGATTTATGTCTATGAACAATAGTGTCTATCTCAGTTTCATGTGTTCTTGTGATCTCGGCATGGGGATCAGTTTCTTTGTTGTCTAACTCTGTACTCAGCAAGAGTCTTGCTGTATGGCGACGGCCTGTTAGTACTCGACTCCGGGCCAGACAAACCAAGATAAGATGGAAAGAAGACGCTATCAACTAGGCCACGCAGCCTGACCACCGACCCATTACGTGACATCGTGCGACAAATAGGTTGCTCGAGACTAACCAGGAATCCC